ATCAAGAACAGAGCGAGTAGTTTTATTGCCGCTTTTGCAAAGCATTATGGTTTTGCTTCTAATAACCATGCATAATTCTTGGCACTTGAAGAAGGAGTTCAATTGGTTATTCAAAGGATTTGCTTTCCTATTCAGATAGAAAGTGACTCGACCTTGCTTATGAATGTTACTAAGAATCGATGCAGTGCTCCATGGAGGCTAAAGGCGATTGTAGATAATTGTTGCACCAGACTTTCTTCTTATCGATGGTCCATTACACATGTCTTTTAGGATGCTAACATGGTTGCTGATGCCCTCGCTAAGAGGGCAGCTGTTGGCCCCGATGCGACTGTGTGGTGCCATAGACCACCATTTCCTCTCTTTTGCTATATGATCTGGTGCAATTGCCCTACCATAGGGTTGTATGTTAATTATTTTTCTTTGCTCTTTTATTAATGATAAAAGAGGTATGGGGCCTTCTTGCCCACTGACTTACCCCCCAAAAAAAGAATCTACAAGGGAATCCATCCCAAATAACTCTTTATAAGATTTAAATGATAAATTCTATCTTCTCAAAATAACCAATATCTCAAAGGAGGATATCCTTCCCTCGGTGTTCCAAAAAGCGGACCGCCCAGTGCTTGGGCGGATCTGGGTACATCGCCCAGGCCCAGGCGCCCAAAAAAAGTGGTCGTCCCTGGACGCCCTCCTAGGCGCCCAGGAAACTGCCTAGGCAGCCTGCCCAATGCCCAGACCTGGGCGGCCGCCCAGGGACTGCGCCCCGCCTAAAGGCGAAAAACATTTTTCAAAGGGGCATTTTTTGTCTTGTTTTATTATACTAAAGGGCAAAAAATGGGTGTTTTACGTCCATTTGAAATCTAAAATGTATTGGAACCCATTTTAGATAAAAAAAGCCCCCAAAATATAGTTTTTTGGTATTTTTTTAAGATTGAAAAGTTTCTCGAAGTTATAAGAAATTGATCAAAACATCACCCATTGATATTAGATTTAATTATAGAGAAGGGAATCAAGGAGGTTGGAGAGCATCTTGTTGTATAGGTTGTCACAAACAATACTGCTCCTAATGTTGCTGCAATTAATTTGTTGAGCATAGCTTATCTTAGAATATTTTGGACTCCATGTGCAACACATTGTATAGACCTCATGCTTGAGGCTCTTGGAAGTTTAACCGAGATATTAAGTGCAGTGAAGAAAGCAAAGTCAGTTACAAATTTCATTTGTGGCCACCATAGCACCCTCAGCATGATGCGTAGATTTACAAAAAAGAAAGAGATTGTGAGGCCTGGGGTCACAAGATTTGTGACCTGATACTTATGCCTAGATAGCATACATTCGAGGAGAGTGCAGTTGAGGCAGATGTTTACACTTCGGATGACTGGAGAGCATGCAAGTGGTCTAAGGATCAGGTTGGGAAGAACGTAAGAGATATTATCCTTTCTAAGGCTTTTTGGTGAGGGGTGAAAGGTGCTCGTAAAGTATTTTTTCCTTTTGTCAAAGTCTTTCGCATGGTTGATAATGACAAGCTTCTATGGGCTATAGATATGAGGCTATGGAGAAATGCAAAAGAGAGATAGCCCAAAATTTTGATAATGATGAGAACTGCTACAAACTTGTTTGGGATATTATTGATGAGAAGTGGGATAGGCAACTACATCGGTCATTACATGCTGGTTATTATTTGAACCGAGCTTTTTTTTATGTTGACAAGGATATACACATAAATGACACAATTAGGATTGGACTTAACAAGTGTATAGATCTGCTAGTCCTTGATCCTGATATCCAGGATATTATATGCACTGATGAGTTGATAAATTACAAGCGCTCATTAAAGTCTTTTGGAAGTCTAATGGCGATGAGGCAAAGGACCAAAATTGATCTAAGTAGCAAAAATATTCTTAAGTTCATCAAGTTCAAGTAATAAAGTTTCATTTTTATAATTATATTATTTATTTATGATTTTATTCTATATCTTTGCAGCCAATTGGTGGAGCCAACATGGGTGTAGCTCTCCAAATTACAAAAGTTAGTTATTCGGATCTTAAACCTAACCACTTCCTCATCCAGTTGTGAGTGCAACTGGAGTACTTTTGAAGAGGTAATGCCGTAAAGGTAATTTGTATAATTGCATTAATAATAAATGAACCATAGATTTTAATTAATTTCATTTGATTTTGTTAAATTCATACAAAGAGAATGAACAAACTTGAATCAAATAGGCTCAATGACCTAATCTAAGTCAAGTATAATTGATTCTTGAAAGACATATTTGCTAAGAGAGATATGAGAGACCCCCATCAGATCAAAAAATATGGACAATGCTATAGAGTAATTAATTGATGATGAGATCGAAAGGCATGAATAATTGACAAGGGGACATGATCATGGATACTTCAGAGACATTAGCTGACCTCCTAAAAATCTTTGGCACAAAGAATGAAAGTGGAAGAGGACGACCAAGAAGAAGAGGCAGATTCAAAAGAGACAAAGGAAGAAGACGACGATCAATATGTCGAGGAAGGTGACGACTTCGATGAATATGATGCCAATACATCTAACCCTAATTTTTTTTATGATGAATGTTGAATAATTATTGAACTTTGAACTTTGATTGCACTATAAATGGTAAATTTTAAGTTTTAATTGGATATGGATTATTGACTAACTTTTGGCTATACTTATAAAATGTGTGCTAATGTGTAGTATAATTTCAATCCTTATGTGCCCTAAATATGTAATTATTATATTTTATTTCATATATAACTGTAAAATCTTTTTTGAAGTCAACTGGACAGCCCAAATTCTAGGAGCCCACCTAAGCACTAATTGGCCTTGACACCCCCAAGCCACCGAGGACTTGCCTAGCACTTTTTGAAACTATACCTTCCCTTTAAAATCAAATACAAGTGACATCCTCTCTCTCTTAAATCACGTTAATCTCTATGTCCTACAAAGAAAGCATCTCTAAACAAAATCAAATTCATCCCAACTACTAAAGAAAAGATCAAGTAAATCCAAAAGAAACGAGAAACTAGCTATCCTATCTAATAATTAAATCAAATTCCCTTTCAACACCTACATTAATAATTAAACCCATCCAAATAAGATAATCTCATCCAAGTCCTAGAGTTCAAAAATAAATAAAAAAGTAAAATCCAATTACGCCATTGCGGTGGCTCAGATTGCATCACATACTCCCTTTACTGTAATTAAGGGCCATATAGACCCTCATGACCACCAAAATCCAAGTTTCATCCTCCACGCCTATTTTATTGACTGATAAATCTTACATTAAAAGCTATAGGGATTTAAAAATGACATATGTTTCCTATTAAATAATAAATAGGGTATTTCAGTCCCCTCCTCGCACTAGAAAATCTCCCTAGTGTTCTCTCTTGAGATAATCATTTTCACTCCAAGAAAATTAATGTCTGTAACAGAATTTCTGGTGATTTTCTTTGTTTCCTGGATGGTACTTTGAGATAGATGGCACCTGAAAAAGAAAGAAACATGGCATGGATTCTGATATATGCTTGCTTGGTTCGAGAGTTGTGGAGATGGGGCATTGAAATTTCAAAGTCATGTTGGGATTTTCTTGATTATTTATAAAAAAATTGGCCACAACATGCTCTGTAATTTCTATTGATAGATAAAACCCTTCATCCGGCATATCAACTACCATGGTTACTTTAATCCTTTACTTGGTCTCCATTTGGATGGAGGCTTGCTCTAATACTTCCAATTGGCATACAACTTTTTATGGAAAAAGCATTGATTAATCAAAATAACACAAATTTCTTGAAGAACGATTTTCCTATGGAATTAGTGATAAGAAGGTTAGATCTGAAGGAGAACAGAGAGTATCATTTTCAATTAACACTAAAAAAAGAACCCAAAAAATACAAAAAACACAATACGAAGGACTAAAGACACAAGATAATTGAACAAACATGAGAACGAGCACACTAATATTCAAAGATGATCAATTGCAGGGACACAAGACGATCAATAGCAGGACAAAAGCTCTAAGAATAATCAAACTCATTCCAACGAGCAAGAATCATGATTGACAACAGCAGAAGCACAGTCCATAATCCAGGGTTACATTCCACGCTAACCATGCCAAGCATTCTCATGCCAGCTAGAATGCCAAAAATATTTGAACATCACATGAACAATTGCTAAGAATGTCCGCAACATAATCGATAATACATACTAAGCACATTCGGACTCAGAGACAAAATATGAAGAACTCATAAGTTGATGCTTTCTCAATTCAGATGGATGTAGATAGTTAAGAATTCTTCCTACAATTCCTAATGCTTGATGCCTAGACTAGAGGTCACCAATCATTGTTGTCAGGTGCAAGTGCGTTCCCAGGAGCGGGAGCTGGCTCAGGTCCATAGAACCGTGGACAGTTGGAATCTCCTTGTGGTTGGGATCGTCTGTACGATGTGTGTATGTATATATATATATATATATATATATATATATATATATATACTATACGTAGTAGTTAGGTAGGTTAGGTAGTACTAACTACAACGTACCTAAACTAACGTAACGTACGTACTACTACGTACGTACTCCTTGTTACGTC